CCGCCGCCGCCGTCGACGCCACCGACGCCGCGGGCGGAAAGAGGTGCGAAACCGCTTCAAAAGGAGGAGCGGCCGGCTCTGGCCCGCTATCCCCCGGAGTCTCTTTCGCACAGTCCCGGCCTGCCTTCTCCGCGCCGCGCAGGAACCTGGGAGTTGTAGTTCTAGTGCCGCCGGAGACCGTCCCGCGTATATTTGAAAAGTGGAAAGGAACTCTGAGACGCGGCGGTTGCGTTCCTCTAGGCTTTTACGGTACCAAAGTAGTATTAATAGATGGCTTTTCTTTCTTAATCTGTCTCCCTCTCCCCACCTTTCTTCTACTTTTTAATTTTTTTCTTCTCCTCCTCCTCTTTCAATACAAATATGGTTCTAGATAATTTAGATCAGTAGTGTTAAAATGTTCTTTCGTTGTTTGCTCAGATACTTCCTTACTAAATAGTGGCCAACTTTTTTGTTTTCAGTATTTACACATTAACGAATGTGAACAGATACAGTTTATGAAAACATGTGTTAACTGAGAATATACTTTTAAAGCTTTTCCTCCTAGCCCTATCAGACCAAGATCACCTAACCTACCTGTGGTCCCACAAAATCCCCTTTATGATTTTGACAGTGGTCTACAATGCGTGAGATCACACAGCAGAGGAACTAAGGCATCTCACAAGACAAAGCAATAGAGTAATTAGGAAATTTTTAGGAAGGTAGAGGTAGATGAAATTTAAATGAAACAGTATTTTGATAGGTTCAAAGCCAATTAGGGCTGTGTGTAAGAGTTCAACATCACGTCTGGACTACAATTTGGACCCAGAGTCCTGTTAACTTAAAAACTACAAAATTAACATACATACTAATTGTTGGCCCAGAACCCTCTTATCTGAAGCCTTGCACTTGGTTTGATATGTGGCTTGTTCTCTGTGTGTCAGTGACCAGCCAAGGAAGGGCTATTTCATTCTTACTGATAGATTTTCAAACAACAATGTTGTTACTCTATGAGTTTGGGAACAAATTTTCTCATTGTGTAAATAAGATAGTAGTAGTCACCAAGGTCACCTTGCTTCTACAAGTGCAGTATTTCTTTGGGAGAAATACTGTTAATTTTTCAGCTGACTTTATCTATGTCTGTTATTTATGCCCAGCAGATATTTACTTTCTCATTTGAAGGCTTGTTTTTGCTGGTCTAAAGGAGAACATGGTGTTTGATTACTTACATCCTAGCTAGTATTTGATGAATCTGTTTGCATTTCCACAAAGTGGACTAAAACTGCAGGTGCATTTGTACCAGCTAATTTGGGACTTGCAGATGAAAATTGAGAAAAAGAAACATCTGCCAAGATGATAGACTCAAAAGCTGTATGTAAATTAACCATTTTTAAATCTCTTAAAAGTCTAAGAGAGATTTGCATTTAAACAATTTCTTTAATGTGCTGGTGGGATTTCAGTGGAACAAGTATTTTGAAAGGTTGCAGGTGGGAGTCATTTAGTTACATTCTTGGAAAACAGGCAGTGATTATGTGGCTGGAGCCCAAATATGGTTATGCCTTTCAATTCAGTAATTGTTGCATGGATAGTCTTTTCCATTTTAGATATTCTAATAGGTATGTAGTGATATCCCATTGTGATTTTAATTTGTATTAACCTAATTACTAATAATGTTGAAAATCTTTTTATGCATTCATTTGCCATCCATGTATCTTCATCGGTCTTGTCTGTTAAGATCTTCTGCCCACTCTGTAAATTATTTTCTTGTTATTGAATTTTAAGAGTTGTTTATTTATTCTGGAATCAAGTCCTTTAACACATATGTGATTTCCAAATATTTTCTTCCAGTCTGTGGCTTGACTTTCCATTTCTTAAAATTGTCTTTCAAAGAGAAGTTTTTCTTTTGATTGAGTTTAATTTGCCAATTTTTTGCTTTTCTTGATCATGCTTTTGGTGGTATATCTAAGAAATCTTTGCCTAAACAAAGTTACAAACATTTTCATCTTTGTTTCCTTCTAGAAATTTTACCCTTCACACATTTTCAGTAGTCATTCTACTATAAAAAAGGTCTTCCCTACTCCCCTACTTTTTGATTTATCTATCCATTATCATGATTCATAGATTTCTATTTTTATTCAATGGGTTATGATTTTTGATTGTTCATTGCTATTACAGAAATAAAGCAATTTTTTCCCTAGCTTTATTGAGGTACGGTAAACAAATAAAACTGTGTATATTTACATGTACATGATGTTTTGATATTATTATACATTGTGAAATGATTGCCGCAATTAAGTTAATTAATACATCCATCACAAAAATAGTTACCATTTTTGTGTCTGTGTAGTGAGAACACTTGACATCTACTATCCTGGGGCACGTGGCTGGCTCAGTTGGTACAATGTGTAACTCTTGATCTTGGGGTCGCAAATCCATGCCCCACATTGGACATGGAGCTTACTTAAAAAAAAAAAAGGGTCTACTCTCAGCAAATTTCAAGTATATAATACATTATTATTATAGTCACCACGCTATACACTAGGTCTCCAGAACTTATTCATAACTGAAAGTTTGTACTCTTGGACCAACATCTCTCCGTTTCCCTCATCCCCACAGTCCCTGGTAATCACCATTCTGCTCTCTGATTCCTTGAGTTCAGCTTTTTTACATTTCACACATGAAATCGTGCAGTATCTTTCTGTGTCTGGCTTATTTAGCTTAGCATAATGTCCTCCTGGTATATCCATGCTGTTGTAAATGGCAGGATTTCCTTTTTTAATTTTAATTTTTATATCTGTTTATTCTTCTTTAATTTTGAACAGTTTCTCAACCTTTCCTTTTTTCATGACATTGATATTTTTGAAGAATATAGGCCATTATTTTATAGAATATTCCTCAGTTTAAGTTTGTCAGTGTTTCCTCATGATCACATGCAGGTTATGTCTCTGACCAGAATACTACATACATGATCTTGTGTTGCTTTTAGGGAATCACATTCAGAGACACATGATATCCATCTGCCCTTTATTGATGATGAAGATTATTGGTGATAATCATCTGGTGAAAGTATTGTCCACTTTCTTCTATTTTTTTCTACTGCATAGTTAGATTTTTCTCCTTGCAGTGTATAATCAATCTGTGGGATAATTCACTGAGAATATGCAAATACCCTTTTCTCATGAAACTTAACACTTCAATCTTGCCTGATCAATCTTTACTATTATAGTTGTAAATAGTAATTTTCCAACTCTACCACCCTTTCCATATTTTTAATTGGCATTCTGCTATATAATAAAGGGTCTTCCCGTCTCCCTTACTTTTTGATTTATTATCATTATGGATTCATGGATTTCTGTTTTATTCAATGGGTTATAATCCATTACAGTCCTAATTTATTTTGATGCCAGTTTGTCCCAAATTTGGCCAGTTGTAGTCCCTTTTGCAGCCTCACATGGCCATCATTCTTTGAGCAGTCCCTTACTTTCTGGCATAACATACCATGTTCCAAGTACATTTGGTACCTTCTCTGCCCCTGCCCTGGAATCAGCCATTTCTATAAGAAGCCCCTTTTCCTTTGGTGGGAAATGGTATTTAACCAAGATCTGGGTGTTAGGTGTACTCATTGTCACTGGAACATTTACAAAAGATTCTGACATTTGTTGTAGCTTGGATCAAGGGATGATTTACCACACAATCTTTTGTTTACACAGCTAACTTAAAAATTCACATTTTGATCCATTTCTAAAGAAGATGGACATGGTGTGGAAACATCTATATATCCGTTCCAGAATACTGCCTAAAAATTCTTACTGGGTGATACTTTATATCCTCATTGGATTCTCCTTACCTTTGTTTACGGGACTGGATCAATTTCTACTCAATTCTAGAAATTGGGCGGATTTGAGATATAGCCTTAAGAAGATTAATGTAATTACTCCTGCATTTTTTAAAAAGATTTTTGAAAAAGTGTTTATTTATTTAAAAAAAATTTTTTTAATGTTTATTGATTTTTCAGACAGAGACAGAGCATGAAGGGGGGAGGGTCAGAGAGAGAGACACACAGAATCTGAAACAGACTCCAGGCTATCAGCTGTCAGCACAGAGCCCGACGCGGGGCTCAAACTCACGGACCACAAGATCATGACCTGAGCTGAAGTTGGCCACTCAACCGACTGAGCCACCCAGGCGCCCCTTTTTATTTAAGTAATCTCTATACCCAACAAAGGGCTTGAACTCACAATCCTGAGATCAAGAGTTGCATGTTCTTCTGACTGAGCCAGCCAGGTGTGCTCCTGATTACTACAGCATTTTTAAGTATTCTTCAGTTCTATAGTTTTTCAGAACACTTAGGTCATTTTCTGGCATTCTCCAATTCATTTTTTGTAATCAAGTGTTTTTTTCCTTAGGGGCATATTAATAAATGCACTAATTAGTTTAAATCAAGAAGATTGAGATTTTGAGTAGATAGGAGCACTCAGAATTCCTTCTTAAATGTATCTAATTTTTCCTGAGGTTTTAGAAATTCTTTAAATATGGCTTTCACATCTGCCTTCATCTTGGTTCAAAATCTACTCTTCATAATTTTAAGTGAAAATTTCAACTTTACAATTACAAGTTCAGGTGGGAAAGGAGATGACCTTTGTGTGTTTAAATGGTAGGTGGAACATAAAAAGAAGAGAGATTGTGTATGTGAATAGAATTGTTTACAGATGCCTGGCTGGCTCAGTCAGTAGAGCATGTGTCTCTTGATCTGGGGGTTACAAGTTTGAGCCCCACGCTGGATGTAGAGATTACTTAAAAAATAATAAAATCTTAAAAAAAAAGGAATTGTTTAATCATTATATTGTACATCTGAAACTAATATGACACTGTAGTCAATTATACTTGAATTTAAAAAAAGGAAGGGAGATTGTATAATGGAGTAGAGAAAGGACACAAGATGAATAGGGAATTCCCAAGAGTGAAACAATACTAAATTTTTCACATTTTTTCATTAGCTTTAGCCATAAACTCTTTTGGGAAGCAATTCTATTGTCAAGACTAAGCTCTGATTCTTTCTGATGGCAATCAAAGAAGGCTGACCTTCTTGGTTAGGTATTTTGTCACCTTATTGTTCTAAGTCCCTCCAAAAAGGACAATCAGTCATAATTAAAGAGTCCCCCCAAGATGCCACTGTCGTTCTTGATTATTCTTAGTGAAATTGTGCCATTTGAAAAGATGGCATGGTGAGTAAGAACTGTAGTGATGTAATGGAGAGGCAGAGAACCCCATGAGAACTGACCTGGATGAAGCATTGTTTATGGTTTCTGTGTCTCCATATCCTAACTAATGGCTTGCTGTCATTACCACTATGCATGAAAACCTCTGGTCCCAGTTCAGGCGTTGAAAATAATCAAGGCAGTTCTCAGAAGCACAAAGATAAGACTAAGGAGTGTTCTTACAAAGTTGTGAAAGATGACCTAAACCAAGTTTGTTCAAAGGATTCCATTATAATGATTTTTTTTTTTATTCTTTATTCTCCACAAGTAATTTGAATGGTGGGCTTACCAAATATATGCCTGTTTTCTGTCTATAGACTTCATAGAGACAAACCAAAACAAAAGCAAAAATTAAACAGGAGTAAAAAATACAGGCCACTTTTAACAAAAGGACAAAGGATAACAAAACAGAACCCAAAGTTTTATTCTTAGTCCTGGGAATCAAAAATAAATTTAGTGCCAAAGAGCTTAATAAAGCTCAGAGCTTCATTCAGTGTGAAACTTACCTCATTATTATGGGTCAAGTGAATTTGAATGGGTGCAGACCCAAAGATTCTCAAATTTGCTCCCTCTTGCCATATCAAGGAGTGTGGAAACAGGGATCTCAACAGAATCTAGGCAGCACCTTCAGATTGTTAAAACTCTACAACAGAAGAACATCAGTGACCTGCCCGTGTCTTAATAAACCAAGTACATTTAGCTTTCTGCAGTAAGACAGAATGCCCCATAGGCACAGTTTAGAATCATGTTAATCTGGGAAGATCAGGGAGGACTTTTAAAATGAGTATTGCGGGGTGCCTGGGTGGCTCAGTCAGTTGGTTAAGCAACCAACTCTTAATTTTGGCTCAAGTTGTGATCTCACAGTTTGTAACATCAAGCCCGGCGTTGGGCTCCATGCTGACAGTGTGGAGCCTGCTTGGGATTCCCTCTCTCCCTCTTTCTCTCCCCACAACCCCTGCTCGCACGAATGCACTCTCTCTCTCTCCCAAAATAAATAAATAAACTTAAATAAAATGACTATTAGGTGCGTACAGAGCAGAGTAAATGTCTTTTCTTCTAGGGCAAAATACATACATACATACATATATGTATATTAATGCTTGGATCAAGTGCTTGTAGTGGGTGTTTTGTAAAGTAGGGAGCTGGTTAGAATAGGAAGATTGGAAAAAGAAGTTATTTGCTGATTGGTTCAGGGTTCAAAGCCAGATTTTTTTTTTTTTTTTAACTGTGGGGAAATATATCCTAAGGTTTCACTTGAGATTTGGGTCAGTTATAGTGGTTTATGAGTTAAGATGTTACAAGGGGGTTATAAACTCATTTCTCATTCTCTTAATTTATCTTTCCCTCACTTTGGATTTTCCTGCATAGGCTGACCACGCTTATCTGGAGGTAATGAATCTGGTAAACTTATGTTTCTGAAACACAATACTTGGGCCCTTAACTTCTGGATTAACTTCCACATCTGTAAAATGACAAGAGACTCCATGATCCCTTCTAGCTTTTAATGACTTGAGATTTTAAGTAAGTTAACTATGAAAGACTGTTTACAAGAGAAGTAATACAGATGTCCCCTTATACATATATGAATAGAGAGATGCAAACTGAACTATAAGAAGATAAATAGCATCCATCCCCTAACATGTTGTCAGAGACTAACTGAAAGATAAGATGAAAATGCCTATTATCACTTATATTACTTAACATTGTATAAAATACAATATCTAGGCCTTGAAATATGTGTAAGATCACCCACAGCTAATATCCTCCTCAGTGGGGGAAACTGAAAGCCTTTCCCCTAAGATCAGGAACACGACAGTGTTGGCCACTCTCACCATTGTTATTCAACATAGTCCTGGAACTCCTAGCCTCAGCAATCAGAAAACAGTAAGAAATAAAAGGCATTCAAATCAGCAAGGAAGAAGTCCAGCTTTCACTCTTTGCAGATGACATGATATGTGGAAAATCTGAAAGACTCCACCAAAAAATTGCTGGAACCAATACATGAATTCAGCAAAGTCACAGGATATAAAATCAATGTACAGAAATCTGTGGCATTTCTATCCACCGATAATGAAGTAGCAGAAAGAGAAAACGAGGAATCAATATCATTTACAATTGTGCTCAGAACCATAAGATACCTAGGAATAAACCTAACCAAAGAAGTAAAACTATAGAAAACTTATGAAAGAAATTGAAGACACAAAGAAATGGAAAAACATTCCATGCTCATGGGTTGGAAGAACAAATATTGTTAAAATGTCTACACTACACAAAGCAATCTACACATTCAGTGCAATCCCTATCAAAGTAACACCAGCATTTTTCACAGAGCTAAAACAAACAATGCTAAAATTTGTATGGAAACAGAAAAGACACCAAATAGCCAAAGTAATGTTGGAAAAGAAAACCAAAGTCACAATTTTGGACTTCAAGCTGTATTACAAAGCTGTAATCATCAAGACAGTATGGTACTATCACAAAAACAGACA